ATGCATTGCCAATATTTTCAGACACTTGCTAGCTGCCTCAGGGTGCTCTATAAAAGTCTTCAGTACAGCGAGTGGGAGCCTCATACAGGAATTCATAGGGCACAGACACAAGGTGAGTTTCATCTTTGTCTGTGTATAAGATGTAGGGACTGGGAGAGGGAAGGGAAAAGAACAGGTAGAGAAGAATGAAAGGAAATGAGAATGGGTGAGTGTGGGCAAGTGAGTGAATGAGTGGGTAAGTGAGTGAGTGGGCAATTGGGTGGAAGAGTGGATGGAGAGTGAGTCAGTAGATGGGTGAGTGAGTGAGTGAGTGGATGGGTGAGTGAGTGAGTGAGTGAGTGGATGGGTGAGTGAGTGAGTGAGTGAGTGGATGTGAGTGAGTGAGTGAGTGGAGTGAGTGTGGGTGAGTGAGTGAGTGATGTGAGTGAGTGAGTGAGTGAGTGGATGTGAGGTGAGTGAGTGAGTGAGTGAGTGATGGGTGAGTGAGTGAGTGAGTGAGTGAGTGATGTGAGTGAGTGAGTGAGTGAGTGAGTGGTGAGTGAGTGAGTGAGTGTGTGAGTGAGTGAGTGGATGGGTGAGTGAGTGAGTGAGTGAGTGGATGGGTGAGTGAGTGAGTGGATGGGTGAGTGAGTGAGTGATGGGTGAGTGGGTGAGTGAGTTGGATGGGTGAGTGGGTGAGTGGAGTGGATGGGTGAGTGGTGAGTGAGTGGATGGGTGAGTGGTGAGTGAGTGGATGGGTGAGTGGGTGAGTGAGTGGATGGGTGAGTGGGTGAGTGAGTGGATGGGTGAGTGGGTGAGTGAGTGGATGGTGAGTGGGTGAGTGAGTGGATGGGTGAGTGGGGTGAGTGAGTGGATGGGTGAGTGGGTGAGTGAGTGGATGGGTGAGTGGGTGAGTGAGTGGATGGGTGAGTGGGTGAGTGAGTGGATGGGTGAGTGGGTGAGTGAGTGGATGGGTGAGTGGTGAGTGAGTGGAAGTGGAGTGAGTGTGAGAGAGTGAGTGGAGGTGAGAGAGAGAGAGAGAGAGAGAGAGAGAGAGAGAGAGAGAGAGTGAGTGAGTGAGTGAGTGAGATGAGTGAGTGAGTGAGTGGAGTGAGTGAGTGAGTGTGAGTGAGTGTGAGGGAGAGAGAAAGAGAGAGAGAGAGAGAGAGTGAGGGAGTGTGCGTGCGTGCTTGTGTGTTTGAGTGATTGAGAGTAAGAGTGAGAGTGATTACAAATATGTCTACACATATTCTAAGCCACTATATAATTTGCATTGTTCATACTTGCAGGTGATAGGCATTGGTCAACATGGCAGCCTGTACATCACATGTGATGCCAAAGGAGAGATGCGGACATGGTCCTCAGAAAAACAAGAATGTCTTGAGGTTTGTGCAGGGGCTTTGCTTGAGAAAGTGTGCCTATATGGTACAGTGTTATGTAAGACTATTGATATTGTTAACATCAATGGAAATTGTATTAGATTACTCTTTCATTGGTTGAATATTAATTATCCTCTTAAACATAATTTTGTTGTATACAGTAAATTATTTTTTTCTTCTTCCTCTTTTTTTCTTCTTTTCTTCTTCTTCCTTTTTTTCTTCTTCTTTTTCTTCTTCTCTTTCATTTTTTTTGTTTTCTGCAACTTCTGTACCATAAGCTTGAAGACAGACAATGAAGGCATTAGATAGTTTTTCAAATTTTACAATTGAACGTAGCATAAGTAACCAGTGGCTGTGATGAGTCTCATTCCAAGGTTTGCCACATATTGCACAAGTTAAGAGATCATGTGATTCAGTTAATGTTCTTGGACAGAAATTGCATACTGACAAGATGCTTGCTGAAGTATATTCCCGCTTCCTCAAAAGCAAAATAAATATATGAATACCATAACACTCGCATCCTTCCCTCTCTTCTACAGAAAATCAAGCTCCTGGAGGAGAGTTCGCAGGACACAGAACGGGTTGTGGCATTCCAGATAATGAAGGAATTCCAACAGGTTCTCCTCCTGGTGAGGAAATCTAGCAAGAAGAAATGCCGACTGATGAAGTTCTCACGGCCGTTTGGCAAGGGATCCCCAATGGTTTTGGCTCAGGATGTGCAGCTGGGACAGGGCAAGGTAGGATGAGGGGAGAAACAGAGGGTAAAAGGGAAGGACTCATGTTTACCCTAGGCTCGTAGATGGTTCTTTTAAAAAACAAAATATATCTGTATGTAAGTTAGTTGCATCATTACATGAAAGGCAGGACAGTAAAAGTTGTTGTTTTTTCTCACAGATTTCTTAATCTACATATTTGTTGCATATATATTTTTTTTTTTTTTCTTTCTTTCTTTTCTTTTCTTCTTTTTTTTCTTTTTCTTTTTTTTCCCTTTTTTTTTTCTTTTTTTTTTTTCTTTTTTTCTTTTTTTAGATATTTATTTATATTTTCTCCTTCTTTCTCATCCTTCTTTGTAATTGATTTAGATGTTTGTTTGCTTTCACAATTCATAGTATTTATTGTAAATTGTCCATGATGTGATGGTCACGTCACCCGGATCAAAGGGGTAAAGACCCACCATCCAGCTTACTACTAGGCGGAATGCTGGGGAAGATTGCACTCTCCCAGTAATACATTGTATAGATGGTTTGCAGTTCATTCTGTGGAACTGCTTGCAGAATGCTTCTCATTGTTTTTAGTAGTAGCTAAAGTCCTTTATTCCCACAGATGGGTGCTTCACACACTGGTGACTCCATTGCATATCTCACTGAAGACAGCCTCTCCATCATAGCTGCAGGCAAGGGAGTGTTCAGGTAATGATGTTGCTTTTATACTAATTTTGCTCAATGCAATTTTTTCTTCTTTTTCTTTGTTTCTACTGGTGTCTAATAAGTCTCTGGGGTTATTTTTAGGATGTGTTTACAGTATTCTAGATCTTCAATGTGCTGATTTATATAGATTTGAACCCTGGCTTCATGTTATTGAAAAATTAGTCACTTGAGGTTTGATAGATTGATTGCCTATTGCTTTTGTTTTTGTGTAAATATATTTTTTATTAGAAAGTTTTTTGTTACCAAGCCCTTGTTTCCTTTCTCTTCCACCTTCTCTTCTCCTCTTCTTCCTCTTCCTGCTCTCCTCCAGCTGCTTTTCCACCTTCTCCTCCTCCTCCTCCTCTTCCTCTTCCTCCTCTTCCTCCTCTTCTTCTTCTTAGTCCTGCTCTCCTTCACCTATTCCTCTTCCTCTTGCTATCCTCCTCTTCCTCTCCTCTTCTTTCCTCTTTTTCCTCATCCTCTATTCTCCTTTACCTCATCGTCCTCCTCCTCCTCCTCCTCTTTCCCCATCCGCTTCCTCCCTTCCTCCTCCTCCTTCCCTCCTCCTCTCCTCCCCTCCTCCTCCTCCTCCTCCTCCTCCTCCTCTCCTCCTCCTCCTTCCCTCCTCTAAAGACTAACTCGCCTGATTCTCTTCCAGACACATGGCAGGCAGACGGCCCTTCACCTGCCTGGTGTGGAACCCCCAGCAGGAGATGCTGGCAACAGGAGATATCACTGGCCGCATTGTGCTCTGGTACAACCTGGCAAATAAAGTTCCTGCACAGACAATCCTCCATTGGCACACGCTGCCCGTCGAGGATCTTGCCTTCTCAGTTCTTGGTAAGGGGGCCCTATGATACTGATTTGCAGATCTCTGTAAAGAACAGTAAAGAAGTTAATCAAAGTCATATATTTTACCCATGATATGTTCGGGTACAGTTGATAAAAAATACTGAATGCAAAAAAAGGAGTGAAGATAACTTTTACTGGTTAATGCATTCATTGTCTCAAATAACTGATCGTAGAGAAGAATCAAATTTAGGAATGGTTTAGAGCCAAGTCCAATTTTAGTATTCCCTTGCAGTGTTTATTTTAATTCTGTATGTATTAGTATTGTGTTCAAGCTTTTACAATCTTTTCTTGGCCCTGATAATATTTTCGGTAATTTGTCTTTGCAAGCCTTGTAAATTCAGACCCTACTTTATTATTCTAATCAGTCGATTCTGGCCTGGAAGATGGCAGAAATGGGTTATACATATCAGACTTCAGTTTCACCTCCCTTGAAATTCCTGATTAACAACTCATGTTCTATTGATGAGTAAAGTCGACAGAAGTTATTTTAATAAGTTTTAGCTCTGCAAAATCATTCTAATGAAGCATAAAGTCTGAAGTTCATTTTAGAAAGATGAAGTTCTGGGGAATTCTACTTCATAAACTTATCATATATCACTTTATTTGGCTGTAACTTAAAGCTCTTTCTCAGGAAATAAATAATCTGAAGAAATCATTTTATTAAAACAGAGTGCTGAGGAATTATTCTTATGCATAAAGGCATTAGATCCAACCTTAAGGCTCTGTATTCCCTCTTTCTCAGGAAACGAATTGTTCAGCGGAGGAGGAGAGTGTGTGTTAGTCAAGTGGCTCCTCCCAGAAGACCGCAGACATTACCTGCCCCGCCTCGGAATGCCTATCAAAACCATCACCACAGACACCAGCAACAGTTTAGTCATAACTGGCCACACGGACAATGGTGCGTAGTTTGATGCGTGTCCTGGAGAATCATACCAGTATTGTTTATGGAGGATAGTCTTTGGGCTTGAAAGGAGGACAATCATTATTATTATTTGTTATTATTATTATTATTATTATTATTATTGTTTGTTGTTGTTGTTGTTGTTGTTGTTGTTGTTGTTGTTGTTGTTATTATTATTATTACTATTATTATTATTATTTCAGTAGCTATTCAGAGTTGAGAAGAAATTTTGTATTATTACCGAAAGAATGGTGTTCTTGGATCTTATTTTTTCTTTCAGCCTTTACAGTCATAGCATCTAAGACAAATAAATTACAAGGCTACATTCAAGATCTTAACATCAATTTGGAGAGCACCGAGTCATTCCCAGCTGGAATCGTGTTTGACCCGAAAACAGGAGCAATTGTCTTGAACGGAAGGACGGGACACATTCAACTTTACGACATTCATCACAACAAACAGCTGTACCATGTATGTATTTAA